TATGTATTTACTTTAAGTAATCCTGTAACAGATACGAAATTGAATGATTGCCATAGTACGATGGGTAAAACACTTGTAAAAACAAGATAAAAACATCAAACGCTCAATTTCCATGGAGCATGACAGAGTAAATGGAGGCGGTTCTTGTTATTATCTCCCCTGCGCAAAAGGCTCCCATTTTAATTTTAAAAAGGCACAGCAGGACAAATTCACGGCGTCCTGTTTGAAATTGACTGCAGTACAAGCCAGGTTTCATTTTCCCTCTTACTAATGTCTCTAAAAGGCGGTGTTTAAAGCTACTGTACTGTACAAATGATCACCAAGGCAACCGGAACACTTCATAAAAATATAAAAAAGACAAAACAAAAGTAATATGACACAATACAAGAAGGCCACCTTTGATCAATTCTTATGTAATCAAAAAAGCAAGTGTTCTTTCTAAACCCAAGTTTGCATCCTTTTACTGCATTACGACAGTCCTCATATTTGCTTTGTTTTATCAGCTTCATGAAACAGAAAGGTCACAGCATATCTATTATTAAATGACTTGGTCGGGTATATTACATTATTGATCAGCTCAGAACAGCTTCTGAAAACACCCCCTGTGTCAGTGACCTGGCAGTCATGTCATGTCTAGTACTATGAAAGTATTTTCTCTTCATAGATTTGTATTCTATTTATTTTACTATCTTACATTTTGTTTGCTTAACAACATTGTAATGTGAAACAAAAAAACAACCCGGACTTCCCTACATCAAATCATGAATTAACTGTGATTATGTTTTTATATAAAACGCTTACTTCTCATAAGCTATCCACATACTGGCCTGATTCACACTATAACCAGAACAGTAGAATAAATAAGTCACTTAAAAATCACACCCACAACATTGTAGATTAAAAGACCTTAAAGAACAACACATCTAAATAGAATTCAAGAATAGATCAAGCACAAACTAATGGCTTCTATCAGTATAAAAGGGGGGAAATATCTCTAAGACTTTGAAACTATAGTAAAGAATAAGAGAAATTAAAAAATTATCACAAAAAATAATAAAAAGCACAAAAGAACCCAGAAAAACTAAGCACTGCATGTCTTACTTGTAATAGATTTGGTAAGTCTTCATGATTCAGCAAAAAGAAAAAGACTGCTAAAATGTCCTATATGGTTGACTTTGAGGCCATAACCACAGATTTCCATAGATAGCCTAATACCCAGTAATACATCTTGCTTCTGTCAGTGAGCCCCAGGGCAGCTGTGGCTACAGTGTAGCTTGCCACCATCAGTATGTGAGTGTGTGCGTGAATGGATGAATGACTGAATGTCATTTAAGTCTCCTGATTGAAAAAGTGCTATAAATACATGCTGTTTACCATTTACCATTTCACACAAAGATTTTCTCCAAGATTTTTGGAACAATAGCTTTGTTGACTGAGATGAAACAATGTGATGGTAGTGATGGGCTAGGACTGCTTTGCAGTAGGACACAAGGTCGACTATTAATTGATAAGCTGTTCTATTTTCTCTTAAAACAAATGTCAAACAAGAAGATTAGGTTTGAGACCCTAAGTTCAATAGTACCTTGGTTTTAGTTCAACAGTCAAGTTCACATCTCAATGGATTCAAAGAAAAACTTAGGGTTTTGACATGATCTAGACATAGTACAAACTTGAATTTAATAAAGATGCTGTATAATGACTTTTAGTTGGTGGCACATATTGGCTATATTAGAACACACAACAAAACTCACATTGAATACGGTTTGACTGCTGAGTAGCTACGGTGCTGGTGTACAGAAAATAATTACACCTGGGTTTACTCTCTTTCTAGCAGTTTACGGGCAAAGCTTGTTATACCTTTTTATTATTCAAGTTGCCCCTCTGTGTTTTCTTGTTTCTTTGTCTTTTTTCCCTACATAATTTATTGTATATTGCTAGGTTGATTTTACTCTGGAATTCACCGGAACCTCTCTCTATCTGGTCGCTGACTTTTCCTGTTTGGCTGGTAAAATTCTTGAGCTTAATGTAAAAGTTGTTGCACTGTCCAGCCAAACATTCTTCTTGCAAAAGGATTTTGTTGGGCTGCATGGCCCTATTTACTGCACCCAGACTTGGCTGATGTAAGTGTACACAGTTATTTGAATGATTTGAATTCCTTCGATCTCCTGGATTGCATCTATTCTGTAAACGCACAGCATTCAGTGTTAGCCCAACGGTATAACTGGTAACCCAAATCCATAAAATTAACGTGTATATTCACATCAGCCAAGGTTCATTTTGGTGCAGTTGCTAAGCCATTCTGATCGACATAATGACTCCACAAGTATGACATTCAGCATCAAGCTCTTGAATTTCACAAGCAAAAAGTACATTTAAGAGTAAAATCAACCCACTAACCAAAGATGACTTTACTAGCAAAAAATAAATAGGCAAAACAGAGAAAAATAAAACAGAGGGGCTATTGGGGGATAAATAGGGATATATCTGTATATATGAGGACGGATACAGGTTTTTGCCTTAAAACTCCTGAAAAAGAAAACAAAGAGCACAAAGCCACAAACAATCCCACGTGAACTTCCCAGCATTACAACAGGACCAGGCTGTTTGCCATGTTTACTATGAGCGACTTTCTGCAGCACACCTGTACTTCAGCCACACCGTATTCAGTAGTGGTGTTAGAAAAAAATACTTCTGCCAAATATTGCGATGTTTTACTATATGATTTTTGTATCGATTCGAAATACAAATATCCCGATAATTCATAAGACAATACAGGTATGGTTTCAAATATAGCCGAATCGATCTTATATGTAAAAATATATTTATAGGCAAATATCCACTGCATTGTCTCACATTTACATGATACCTAGACCTCCAACTTGTAGCTGGCAGCGCACCGCCCAAGGGCCTATTTTTCAGTTGCTCTAAACAACCCACAGCAGACAAACAAGTAGATTATGTGAGGTTTTCCAGAGCTATATTGTTATAAAAATTGTGATATATGGTCTTGTTAAAGTATCAGAATAAAAATGTAACATATGTATCATGATACGTATCATATCACCAATTTTTTTGCCAATGCACACACCTAGTATCCAGTGTGAGGCTGTCGAAAGAGCCAGATTACTTTTTTGGCCAAGTTTTTGAGCACAGGCAAGAGACATGACTTCTGCCTTTTCATTGCTCCAATTCTAATCAAAAGTCAAAATAACAAACCATGGGATGAAAAAAATTTATTTTTGTGTAAATGTTTGCTTATTTAAATACATATTTTTTTCTAAATAAATGAAATAATTACATTGCTTGCAAACTGCATTTTGTATTTACTTAGGATATTTTGATGCAGAAGAACAAGAAATCTGTAAAAGAGCAAATACTTTAAAGGACAAAGGAATTCTTCTTATTGGTCAGAAAAAAAAATCAAAACTTCTCAGCAACTGTTAAAAGCTGAACATTTCCACAACATCAAGAGAACTGCGTGATTTACTTACTCTTTGAAGTAACTGAAGAGGCAGGTTTTGTGTTGTTGATAGTAGTTGTGTAACATCTGACTGAGCCACCTGAACTGTCAGCATATCAGGGCCATAAAAGCAGCTCAGGAGCAAAAATGTACTGTGAAAGCACCACATGGGGCATAGCAAGCAGCAAGAGCTCAGAGACCCGCCCACCCTTCCTGAATCAGCCGTTTCTGTGGCGACCGGAGCGGAGAGGGGTGGAGGGAGGCACGCGGTGAGAGTGAGGAGACAAACATTTCAAAACCTGGTGGGAGAAACATGGAGGAGTGGATGGACTGATGGCGTGGTGGTGGTGGTGGTGATGATGGTGATGGAGGCGTTGTGGTGTTAAACTGAAGGGTGGGGGATCAGTGGGGAGCTGGGTCTGATTGCTTAGCATCACAATCTCTGACAGATTGACAGTCAAATGCAAACAGCAGCATCATCTAATAAAAAGACAAAAAGCTGCACAGGAATATCTCCTTTTCAATGGGAGGTCTGTAAAACCGCAAGCATAAATTAACCTCCTTATAAAAATAGCCTTACAGAAATTCTGATATGTAGTAAATATTGCCAATATAGGATTTGGCTTTTAAATTTGAACAAACTTGAACTCAACAAGTGGTGTTTCAGAGGATTCAGAAGTAAACATTGAGCTGTAATTGAACCCAATGAGATTACGCAGCAAGCTACATGAAGGAAGACGGCCTAAATCAGAGCACAGGTTTTTAATCATACATATGAATTATGAATAATTTTACACAAATAAAGTCTGGCATTGTGATATAAGCACAAAGAGAACAATATTCTATTATAATCATATTTGATAGTTATTATGTAATAGTTTTAGAAATGGTATTAGAGTCTTATACCACTCTGTCTTCTCAATGTGTCAAAACCATGGCAGTTAAGAATGACTGCAGATCTCCTGCGCAGTTTTTACCAAAAGCTCCCACTAAGCTCAGGAAAAACAGTAAAAAAAACCCATAAAAGCCTGTGACTCCTCCTGACAGTTGTCGCTAAACTCCATGAAGACCCACTGCAGGCTGTTCAATCTGCATTCCAGCAGATACTATAGTCTGCCTTAAGCACCGCAGCTGAGACAGCACTTGTTTACATTGTGTTTTCTCCTGTTTATCTGATTTAAAAAACACAGAGAGATCAGAATGTGAGCTGGAAGATGTTCCCTGTAAAGCCAGTTAGGGACAAATAGATTCACACATGAAAAAACAGGATGAAATGTGATGGTTTCTATTGAATAAGGTGCGACAGTTCCTTCCAAGTGTGAGCAACCATTTACATGTAAAACAAGAAAGAAAAAAAAAACACCCACATCTGTCAGCACAAACAACGAAAGGTAGATAGAGCTCATCTCACAGCATGTGTCGACAATCGATGTTGGAAGATTTTTTTGGCAAACCATTAAAACCAGCATAAATCTTACAAAATGAATAAAACATTGTCTGCAGCTGCTCATTATTTAATCCTTTTTGTGCTCAGACTCACCTGTTTGTGATGCTGGTGTCAGACTCCTGATATGTGAGAGTGTGTGCGTGAGAGAGAAGCTGTGGCAGTGGCAGGAGTGCGCAGAGACTAGGCTGAGTTGGTCACACCGGCATGAACCAGAAGACTGACTGGGTCTGCTCCGCACCTCGCAATTCACTCCTCTTCCCTCCGCATCTCAGAGACAAACAGCAGCTCTTCCTCCTCTGCCTCTCCCTCCCTGTGCCTTTCACAGAGACTGTGGAGCAGGAGCAGAGTAAAGGAAGGAAAGAAGAAAATGTTGGGGGGGCTGCAGATTCTCTGATGAGCCTCTTTTTCTCCCTCTAAAACAGGCAGTTTCTCTCCTCCCCAAGTATGGCTAAAGACAACAGTGGTTGAGAAGGGTAATCAGGTGCAGGGAATCACAGTGAGAAGTGGTTTATATATTAAGTTGCAGTTATTTTTGTGCATTTTGTCTTGAGAAACAGCTTGCCCCCATCAACCACATTGTTTTTGATTGTGCTCATGCGGGTGAAGGGGTGGGTGGGTAGGGATGAAGGGGCTGGGGCTTCACTCCCACCTTCTGCTCCCCCTTTTCACAACCGCCTACCCATCTCTCTTCTTGCCAGCCCCACACCAGCCTGTTGAAATGAGTCATCAGACTTCAGCCAATCAAACGGTGGCACACAGCTCACAGATTAGAATAACAGGAGTATTTATGCTCTCCCATAAGGAGCTGAAAATGAAATGGAGAATGGTCTGGGAGGACCTGACATTCTTGGTGAAGTAATAGAAGCAAACAGAAATAGACTCATTTTGAAAGATGTGTATCAGGACTGTAATTTAATTACCATTTAAAGTCATATCTGGAGAGCGACAGTTATTCCAGCTGGTTAAACAATAATAAAGACAGTTGAAATGTATATATTTAGAAATACACTGCATTGATCACTCCATTACTTGTAAGGAGTGACTCATTGGTGTGTGATTCATTCAATAACTGCTTCAGCCACTAAGTAAAAGTTCAGGCTGACCCCTGTACCTGCCCTCAAAGAAAACCTTAAGGTAAATGACTAAAACAGAACAAGTAATCATCAGTGGCTTTGCAGTTTGGAACTACGTAATTCCAAAGAGCTGTGACTGTGCTCGAGAGTAGGAGCTATTTAAAGCATCAAAAAGAACCAGAAGTTAAATTCATTGTGGGATTGACAAATAGGATATACCTCTCATACTGTATCTATGCTGTTATATCATTTTCATCTTAGTCATAAGATTGCAATACAATCATTACAACTATTTCTTATGTTATTGTTTATATGGAGCACTGTTGTTTTTGAGAGCCTTCTTAGATTTAGTGTTAGTCTTCAGGACAAAAACTATTATTAGTCTTATTTGCATTTTAGTCATTGATATGACAGTTTTAGTCGGTTTTAGTCGACTAAAACTTAAAAAGGTTTTAGTCTAGTTTTAGTCAGTTTTATGTTGCAAAAAAAAAGTTAACCTTTGCAATTTCGAATAAAAACCAGATTCTTCACCAGACTGACAGCTCTTGCCTAGATACTACAATTGCTGGATATAGAATGTTGCCGTGCAGTTCATCATTGCTGTTGGGCAGAAAACTTTGATTTATAGAATTCAGTGTCTCACAAAAGTTGTGAAAATAGCAGATCTAGTTCAACACATCATATTGGTTAATAAAGCAGACAGACAAGCTGACAAAATGTACAATAAAGGAATGATTTTAGACATACAAGCTTTCCATTGTAAAGCAAACACTTCCTGATCAACTATGAATTATGCAGTACACACAGATCAATAAAATCTTAATTGCTCCAAAAAAGCAAATAACTTGAGCATTCTTCTTTCTACTTATTTCTACTAATGTTGGCTTTATTTCTCAGAATTTGCCTCTTTGTAACCACTGCTCAGGTGTCAAATTAGATCTAAATTCATAGGATTTTGATTTAAAAAAACCTACATGGCCTTATATTGCCATGGCAATCCAGACCTAAATTGAATGAATATGCTGAATTAAAATGCTGACATATTTAAACTAAAATGCTGACTTCTTAAAGGACAACAGGGAAATGTTTTAATGAATGTTTTAATTAAGTACATAAAAACTAGAACAGTGAGAGAGAAATATTAAAAGTTCTATGCACCTTTCATCTGGCTCTTTATCCAAAAATAAACTGAATTGAATGAAATATTTTATTTGGATATAATTTAGGTATTCCTTTTGGTAGAAATTAAAGAATGTTTAGTATAACCTCTTGTAAGCTGGAAGAAATAAAATCTTGATAGTTAGACAAAGGGATTTTTTTACGCTTGGCAGAGGATGGTCAGCCCCATATTGTTTATTAAGTAGCGAGAGCAGGAAGAGCCATACTGCTGAGAGCAAACCATCAGTGTGGAGCATGAAACACAGAATCAGAGCTCCACGCTTGCAAACACGCA